CTAAACTCCTGAAATAAAATATATATATATATATATATTTTAATGTAGAAAACAAAAAATTCTCTATATGTATTTTAGTAGCACAATGCCTTGTGGCACTTACCACAGCTTATTTTGGTTATGTTTATGGGTTCTCTGGAACTTCTGTGGGAGACTAGCTTTGTAGATCTACTCCAAACATGATCATCATCATGTGTGCTGTTGCGCTGGAGGAGTGCAGCCCCAGTCAGATGACTTCTCTCCTGGGACAGCCTGGAACAGCACTGCAACCAGGTCAGCTAGCAGGAGCTGTTTTCAGTAACTGGCAGAGGAATTCCAGCCCTCTGTTTTTATCTGCAGTGACTCCCTCACTGCTGGTAACAGCTGCAGCTCTGGATGTGAGAAGAATCAGCTTTGCAGGATTAAATTCAGATGGTTGCGAATGCAGTGTCATTGATTTCAGCAAATGGCTGGGCTTACAGGTCAGTGGTATTTCCTTGCTGCAAGGTTTGAATGTCACACCCAGTTGCACAGTATCAGGAAACAATATGGGTATTTTTGGGGTATTTTCTCCACTAGTGAAAGTAGAAAAAGCAGAATTTCATTAGGAGCAGCAGTTATCTTAGAGACGTTAAAAAAAAAAAAAAAAAAAACAACACGGTGGTAAACATTAGCACATTCCAAAAAACATGATACAGATGATTCTCCAGTTTCAGTTGTAAAAAGTTTATATTCTGAAAGAAAACTAGGGCACTAATGGGGAAGAGTGATACAGGTGGGACAGCTTGGCACAGACCAAAGGTCTGTGCAGGAAAGGATAAAAGAGCTGCAGGTGACATTTGGCTGAAGACCCTCCTGTAGTGGAGGGTGGGAGATGCAAAACCAGCAGAAAAAACCTGGACACAGTTAAATGTGCAGAGTCACAGGTTTGTTCAAATAAACTGGGAGGAAGGGGATCAATGGGTGAGAGAGGGAAGCTTCAAGAAAATGTGGGAAATAAGTAAGCAGGCCTGTGAGTCTCTTGCACTGTTCAGGAGGGGATGTTAGGACCAGCTCCTTGGCAAGAAGGAAGGTGTGAGTAGTTTCAGAAATGTCCTGAAACAGAAAGTGGAACAAAACAATGTGTGGTGAGAAACCACCAGAACTAATACAAAAAGGACAGAGAAACAGTTACATTGGGATTAGCAAAGGGGCTGGTCAGATGGACAGCAGATGGGAAACAGAAGGCATGCCAGAGGAGAGAAGTACAGCAACAAGGTGCTGGGAGGAGCCTTGAGAGGTCGTCATGCCCCAAAACACCTTAGTACCTTCCTGTAGGTATCAACACTGATGTCATCTGGAAGGTGACACTTCATGCAAAGACTATGTTTAACCAGTCCTGGGACAAGGAACAGCCAGGGAGAAGCAACTGGAATGGGAGTATACAAATGCCTGGAACCTGGGCAACACAACACAGGAACCTAACCAACTGGTGCATGTTGTCAGACCAGGTGCTGCAAGCATGCAAGAAAGGGGGTGGAATGGGAACTGTAACTATAAAACTGGAGAGAAAGAGAAGAGAAAAATAAAAGAGGAAAGAAAGAGAAAAATAAAAGGTAATGGCACTACAGTAACAATTAGTGGTGAGTAGCTGCCTAAATAAATAAAGCAAGGATTAGTCGAGAACCCAACAGACGTAATGGGAATTCAAAATACTTTCAGGGTACAGTTTCACCTTTGAAAGGGGTGAAATACATCATGCAGCCTGCCCTAGTGATAGGTTGGGGAGTCTCATGCTCCTAGATGAAAAGATACAAGATAGAATAAGACAATCAGGTATAAAAGGGAAGAAAAAAAGATATATGTAAGCAGAACACAACAAATCACAAAAATCACAAGTAAAGAAACAGGTGCCCATCCAAAAATCGTTCTCACAATGACAAGAGCTGCATCTCAAAAGCCAAGCAGGCATCAGGAAGGAAACTTCCTAGAACAAATAATTAAGTTTCACTGAAAGACAAGGAGATGGGACTCTCTGTCTGGCGTGCTCCAATGTAGAATCATTTAAAAAATATACTTCTGGTCTTTTGTACTAAGCTATAAAGATTTTTTTAAGAAGTCGCACTGAACTAAGACCTGAAATGGAAACTGCACAAAGAAATCCCTCTTCTCCAGGATAGGCAGAGGTCACAAAGCAAACTTTCTGTGTGAGGACCAACCCCACTGCTCAGATGCTGAGTAGAGATCAGCTGCAGCCACTGTTGAGGACACACCCCCCAGTCCTCTCCTTCACATATGTTTTACTTGATGCATCAGACCATCAGAAGTAAAATGCACAAAGGAACCCAGGTGTTCTAACCCTCCAACAAATGGGGCACAATTAGCTCAGGTGTTTCCTGATGCCAGATTTCAGCTACACTTTAAAAACCTGGAGGGATTACTTTGATATCTTAACCCTCAAATTGCAGTCTCTTCTAACAGTGCATGCCATTTTTGAAATCTTGTACCAGAGAGAGTGAAAATTACTCCATTGTGTCATGCTGTCTATTGAAGCACATGAACTATCAAGCAGGAATTTGGTCACAGTCCCCGCAAGGAGAACCAGGCTGCACCAAACTGCAGCAGGGCAGGATGAGGGTGCTGGGCGCTATGTGGAAGAGTCAGTGGATGACAGGATCCCCAGCAGTGGTGAAACATCTGCTCCCTTCCTACCAAGCAAATGTGTATGCATTAATAAAAGGTGCTGAAAGCTGTGAACCTGCACCAACACAAGGAATGGTAATGAAGAAACACACAGTACACACCATCATCAAAATATCCAGCACACAACTGGGTAACCATGTTACACCATGGGTGACAACTGGCTCACAGGTCAGGTACAAAGAGTTATAGTGACTGGGGCTTGTGTCCGGTCACCAGTGGGGTTCCACAGAGCTTCATCCTCAGCCCAATTCTCTTCAACACCTTCGTAAGTGACTTGGATGAAGGACTCAAAGGAATACTACATAAGTTTGCTGACACACCAAACTGGGAGGACCTGCCAGCTCCCTCAAGGGCAGGGAAGTTCTGCAAAGAAACCTCAACAAATTACAGAGATGGGCAATCACCAACCATATGAAGTTTAACAAGGGCAAGTGCTGGATTCTGCACATGGGATGGGGCAACCCTGGTTGTGTGTACAGACTGGGGAACAGGAGGCTGGAGACCAGTGCCATGGTCAGTGGCAAGTTGAACATGAGTCAACATGGTAGCCAGGGGGGCATCAGGCAAAATGCCACCAGCCAGGCGAGGCAGGGGATTGCCCCACTCTGCTCTGTGCTTGGTGTGGCCTCACTTTGAATATTGTGAGCAGTTTGGGGCAACACAATATAAGAAAGACATCCAAAGCAGGGGCACGAGAATAGTGAAGAGACTTGAGGGGAAGCCATACAACGAATGGCTGAAGTCACTTGGTTTGTTCAGCCTGGAGGAGAGACTGAAGGGAGACCTTATTGTTGTCTTCAACATCTTCACAAGTGGAAGTAGTAATAGGTACTGATCTCTTCACTTTCATGACCAGTAACAGGACTCAAGGAAATAGCATGAAGCTGAGTCAAGGGAGGTTTAGGCTGGATATCAGGAAGAGGTTTTTCACCCAGAGGATGGCTGAGCACTGGAACAGATTCCCCAGGGAAGTGGTCCCAGCACCAAGCCTGCCTGAGTTCAAGAAGCATTTGGACAATGCTCTCAGGCAGGTGGTGTGATTCTTGAGGTTTCCTGACCAGGGCCAGGAGTTGGACTTGATGATCTTAATGGATCCCTTCTAACTCAGTATATTCTAAGATTCTACGATCTCAGTAAAAATTTCAAAAAGCAGCATCGCAATGACATTGGAAATAAATTACTGGGATCTTTAAGAATCAGGTGTACAACAGAATTTCCCTGAGGAAAGTTAGTGTTACTCGTTTACCGTGCCTTCAGTGATTTGTCATGAAAAAGTCTGGTTTTGAGCATTACTCATTTAAAATAGATATTTCACCGCGGAACAGCGATCAGCAGAAGTGAGTTTGTCACAAGGGTCAAAATCACCAGCCCACGGAGGGAAGGCTGCAACAGCCTCACCAGCCAGCTCTTAACACACCGCTCAATCCGCCGTGCCCGAGCCGCACAGACGTGGCGACGCCGCTGCCTTGAGAACGACAGAGGAAGAGGCTCTACTGCCCTGATCCCCTCGGCTCCCGGGGACAGCCAGCCCGCACGCCGCGACAGTGCTCCCCGGCACCGCACCCGGCCCCTGCGGCCCCCGCCCGAGAGGGGAGACCTGCCGGAGCGGCTGCGGGCGGAGTGGCCATCTCCCCTCCCCTTGCGTCCGGGGGATGGGGCTGCTTGCGGACGCAGGACCGACCTGCCCTCCGCGACATGTCCCGGCAGGAGCGGGCGGCCCTGCCCAGCCGCGCCGCCGGTGAGGAGCCGGACCTTCCCGGGCAGCGCGCCCCGACGGCGGGAGGCGGAGCCCGGCAGGGGCCGGGCCGCCGTCGGTGCACGACGGGGTTCCTCGGGCCGGCTCCCCCGCCGCCGCGCCACCACAAGCCGCCCGCAATCCCGGCCCCGCGCTGGGCGTCCCGCCCGCAATCCCGGCCCCCGCTGCCGCCCCCGCCGCGCTGCCACGTCCCCGCCCGGCGGGGCCAATGGGCGGCGGCGCCAGGTGTGTGTTACCTGCACCACGTGGGCCCGGTGGGCAGGTGGTGCCGCGGCCCCGCGCTGAAAAGCTCGCAGCCATTGCGCGCTTCCTAAGGGTGCAGCCGGCGTGGGAGCGGCCGCCGCCCGCCTCGGGAGAAAGGGGTGGGAAAGGAGGGGGAGCTGTGCGCCTCCCCCGCGCCAGGTCCTCGGGGAGCGAGGCTGCAGGTGGGGGCTCTGCCGCTTGGGTCTCGCTTGGAAGCGCCTCGGGCAGGGAAAGTTTCCGCTCTCTTCTCGTCCCCTTTTCCTCCTTCCTTTCCTCCTTTTTCTTTCTCTCTCTTCTTTCTTTCTCTCCTTTTTATCCTTTCCGCTGACCCTGTGGCACCATGACGGCATCTCCCGACTATCTGGTGATCCTCTTTGTGACCACGGCGGGCACCAACGGGGCAAGGCTGGGCTCAGACGAGCGAGAGCTGCTCCAGCTCCTATGGAAAGTGGTCGACCTGAGGAGTAAGGAGGTATTTTCACCCGAGGGGGGACCTGCTGCTCCCGTTGGCTCTTGCCATGCTGGGTGCGGGTAGGGTGGTCTCAGCGCTGGGCTGGCAATGGGTGCTCCAGGCTGGAGCAGGCTCTGGTGGAGGGCAGGGGCTGGTGCTGCAGGTGAGGACCCCCAGTCTGGGGAGCTGACTCACCCCTCCTCTGCTTTCTCTGGAGCTGGGGCACCTGCATGACGTGCTGGTCCGGCCTGACCACCCGGAGCTGACGGCTGAGTGCCAGGAGATCACCCAGGTGGATGTGGAGAGCCTGGCACTGGCTCCACCGCTGGAGCAGGCACTGAGACAGGTGATATCCCATAACTGGCTGTTAGGTGCTGATCTCCCTTGGGAGGTCCCCTGTGGGATAGAGGCAGTGTTATCATCTACTTATGCTTTCCACCCCACCGTCAGGACAGTGGAACCTGGCACAGGAATACTACTGATCTGTGTGGGCCAGGCAGCCTATATGTGGAGGGCTTTGTGGGCATTTCTTCCTTGCTTTTTGCTTATTCAACTTGTGATGAACTGACCCCCAGTTGAGGAAGGTCAGGGTCAGGTATTCCCCTACCCTGTTCTCCTGCCATGCTGGACCCTGAGTGAGTCTCCCCTGAGGGTGAACCCCAATCAGTGTTGGAAGAAGCCAAGTTTAGGTGTCCCCTGAAAAGGCTGGGTGGTGGCAGGCTCTGTCAGAGCTTGTGCTTCCTCCTGGGAAGGTGACAATACTAAAGCCCTTAGATTAACACGGAGGTGTGCGTGATTTCTATTGAGGGTAGGGCTGAAAAGCTGTCTCATCTCCAACATGCTTGACTACCCTGTCTGAAAAGCTCTTCTGCCCCAGGACTGCCTCAGCTCTCTGCGACCAACTTTATGTCTCATTGCAGTGCTTTTGCAAATGTTTCCCCAAAAGGTGTTTTGTTTTGTTTTCTGTGATGTGAACTGTCTGTGTAGCATATTTCCTTAGGAAGGGGAAAAGGGGTGGTTTCCAGTGAAGATAATTATGAAAGTTAGTATGTGCTGAGCTAGTAAGAAACAAATATACGGAAGTGAAGTAGTAGGCTTATGCAAAAAGGAATTCTAGCTCCATGTTCCTGCTCCCCAGGAATAACATGTTACCAACTGATGACACTGCTTAGTGCAGCTATTCTGATCTCTTTAACATGTGTGTCTTTTCTTGTTCCTGCCTACAGTTTAATCAGTCTGTGAGCAATGAGCTGAACATTGGTGTAGGTACTTCCTTCTGTTTCTGTACCGATGGACAGTTGCACATTAGGCAGGTTCTGCACCCTGAAGCTTCCAAAAAGGTATGTAGTTGTAGCTTAAATTTGAATCCTAATGTGCTTTCTATGATTTCTTGCAAAACTGATAACTTCTCTCTAATATGAGGGTACCGCCACACAACCATAGCACAAACATCACTCATACGTTAATGCACTTACCATTACATGATAAACCTAAAGAGCCTGTCCATGTGGAAGACACAAACAGTGCCCTATGCTTATGTGGCCTTAAAATGCCTTTTTAAGTTAAATCAAAAGGAAAATACTTTTAAGTGTTTGAGGGAGGAGCACTGACAGTACTCATAGCTTCTACGGCTATAGGAGCTACAATGGATTAACAGATGGGATTTGGAAATGTTGCTAAATAGTTAACCACCTTAATCATAAACTGTCTTTTGAAATTTTACATTCATGTTTAGGTTCGGCAGCTTTCAATCTTTGTGTATTCAGCTGACACTCCGAGGGCGGTGTTTGTATTCGTAAGGAGCCGAACAGGAGGTTGAGGCAGGCTATGAGTGATGATTAGTCCCATAGTCTGGAGTCTTCTATAACTTCAGAGTTGCCAAATCCCGAAGTGTTACAAGGGCCTACCTAGTTTTCATTAGTGATAGGGTTGCAGCAATACGCTGAGTCTCTCTAGTTCTGAAATAACTGCTTCAATATTAATAACACCTAATTTTGTGGTATGAACACGCATTGCTCCGTAACTGAGCTGTTCTGCTCCTCTTTTTGCAACTGACTTCTGTGCCCATCAATTTGGTGCTTCATCTTTGAAGGGGCACTGCTGCAAGTCTGTGTTATTACAAAACTGATAATGAGTTTGGTTGCAATACTTGTTGGTGCTTTAAGTGTTTATAGCTTTGAATGCTTAGAAGAGAAACAGCATGATTCATGGTAAAGGGACTATCCTGTAACTTGTCTTCTATGATGTATAATGTGAGAAAATGTGGAAACAGGTTTTTAACAGACTTTCTTCTTGGTTAACAAGTCTCTTCATCCATTTAAATTATGTGGATAAAAGAAGGGACAACTCCTACAATTATTTAAGTTGATGTTGGGATAAGCATCCTTTTTCTATATCATCACAGGGTGACAGATAGGAATCAAATCTGTTTTGTTAAGAATTATTAATCTAAAATTTGTTCTGTGCTGCTTATAGATAAAGTAAGCCAGATGCATATAAGGCTCTTAAATAGTTCTTTTGTGAATACCCTAATTCAGAGATTGGACTGTGAGATGACTAAAATCCAAATAGGCAGAAATCACTAGGCTCTTGATTAAGATGCCCATTCTGAACCCAGCTAGCAACTCATGGTATTCAGAGAATGAATTGGCATCAGCTATTCCAAGTGAAATTTTCATTTTACATCATGGAAGAAAGTCATCCTAAAACTAAAGCAGAAAATCTTGGCAAGCACACTTGCATTTTCATGTTTGTCTTAAGAGTGTTGTTTGCCTAATGCAATGTCCATATGCTAAGATAAGCTCTAACATTCTCAAAGCAGAACTTGTTTTAGAGCCCAAACTTCTTTCTTTGGGCTCCCTAAGTAAGCTTTCACAGAGCCTGTTATTCTGTTATAATGCCAAGATGCTAACTAGTAGTTACATCTCAGAAAGCCCTTACTTTTAGTCTAGAGAGCCTTGCAGGTAACAAACAGCCAAAAGGAATATGAAGTATTCTGTCTGTGGGGAACCTCTGGGGTGAAGAGCTAACTGAAGAAGTAAGATTTTTGTGTTGTTTTCAACAGCTTCCCCCAAGACTTCTCTTTTTTTTTTTTTTTTTTTTTTTTTTCCCACACCCCCCAAAAAATTAAAAGTGTGTGGTAGATGTAGTTGTGGGGCAAAAAGGGTTTTATGGACTTCCAGTGGGCTGCATAACTTGCTTCTGCCTTCATACACTGCAATTAAAGCAGTTACCATGCATAGACTGCCAACCTCTGCAGCATGTCAAACACTCATCTTTTTTTGTTGGGAATAAATATTTGAAGTATGACTACTCTCTGAAGACTCACTCTTGTCTATAAATTGAAATATCATCTGCTAGTCTTGCAAACTGTGCTTGGTTCTGTAAGCTGAACTGAGTGCCCTCTGGCTTTTTACAGGTAAAATTGGAATCAAAACTGATGATAAATTCCAATAGCAGGCATTTGCTCTCGTACATATATATTGGATTTGAGGCTCTAGTAATAATCACAAATGTTCCTCTGGCAGCACAAAAGCACATTTCTCTTTTTAAACTATATAGAGAGAAAGCTGCTTAAGCAAAAAAGTTTATAAAAACATACCTGGCTAAGAAGAGCTATTGTGGGTTTCTCTGTAGCAAAGGATGCTTGTGTTTCCTACCTATTATATGGAAATTGTTAGAAAGTTTGATATCTAAAGACAAAGTAGATCAAACTTGCCCTGACAGCAGTCATTTTGTTCCTGTTACAGAATATCTTACTGCCTGAATGCTTCTACTCCTTTTTTGACTTGCGGAAAGAGTTCAAGAAGTGTTGCCCTGGCTCACCTGAAGTTAGCAAACTCGATGTTGCGGCCATGAGAGAATGTATCCTTTTGACAGTGATGTGTCTGCTGCTGTTACAGTCTTGGCTGAATCTTAGGACAGAGGTGTGTGAGTAATGCTTGCAACATATGCTTAGGGGTGATATAACTTTAATGAGTGACTCGGAGCTGTACTGAGCTTTCTCACAAAGATAAAAACATGAAGATGTGTGCTTCCATGGAGAAAAACCTGTATTTCTTCTTGACTTCTATGTTTTGTTTATCATCTTTATAGTTTTCTCTCTTTAAACTTCACAGCTTAGTGTAACTGGCACATCTGTTCAAATTGCTGTTATGAATCATAATATTAAAGTTTGAGGTGGTTTATTGCATTAGTTAGATTCTTATCTAATTTTTAAGCAAGACTGAATGTTGGGGGGCTATCTTAATTTTCAGGAGATGGAATGGTTATTCTTGATGTGAACTTGTAGTGGATCTCCAGTGCAGGAGTGAATCTAAGGCAGGGATGCTGTTGGCATGTGTGGTATTCACTCTCCTGGGAGGTGCACGTGGTGCACCTCACAAGGTGAGGCTTTGCTGGCACTAAGATGCTGTCAGTAGTATGTTTCCATTTTCAGTGACAGGGATGTCTAAAATTACTTTCTGAATAGTCTGAAGTGGTCTGTAACCTAGTTCTGTGTGGCTCTTTGCTAGTCTCAGCATGCTTTTGTTTGTATGCCGTGTACAATCAGGAGAGCTGAGGCTGTGAATGATTAGGCAGTGCCTTCTCCCTTGCTCCTCTGGCAGGGAAGTCTCCCCTCTTGCTACAAGCTTCAGTCCTCATCTCAAACATACTCTTGGACACAGAAACACTTGACTTCCCTGCTGAGTTGTTGAAGTATTGATCACAAAAATACTACCTAGGAAGGAGCAGTAAAGGAATTTGAGGTTCTTCTCTATTATTAGTGGTTGTTTTGACTATTGTTTTTAATAACTTTGATTGGCTTACTGTGTCCGTAGAGTGTTTGCCATTAAGAGCTGCCATTCAGAAGTCTGTGGCTTCTGAATTATTTTGTCCTTTCACTGGAGGGCTAGTATTGCCTGTGCTTTGTCCCTATGTCAGGGGGCATAAAATACAAATGTATTTATGGATTTTTTTGATGTTTAACCAGAAGGTTGAATACTGGAAGCTAGCTGCTCTGCTTTGTCATCTGCAAATTAAGATTAATCTCTGCTAGTGAAGAGGCACAAACTACTTCTCCCCCTACTCTGAAGCAAAGCAGTGCACTTAGAGTAGGAGTCTGACTCTTCATGTAGAAAAGTGAAATAAATGCTGTGTTGCATAGAAACTGGATGTTGGAGGCTTCTTAAAGTTGTGGTCAAAAACTTGAATACATTGTTTAGGGAATGCTTTGACATGGGCTAAAGAAGTTAAAGACAATAAGCTATTTCAGCTGTTTTGGAGAGTTGCCTTTTCTTTCTTTTCATGTGAATGGCTGGGGTATGTCTTGCCACTCTGGAAGGAGTTGTGGTGACTGTAGCTGTCTGGAGTGTCACTGGTCAGCTGAAGCATGGTGAAGGACTGACTCCCTGGCTGCTGGAAGAGGGAAGTAGACCACCCTGTGTTACCTGATTGTCAGGAAGCCCCTAAAACGTCAGTACCATCTGAGAGTGGTTTTGGCAGGTGTCAACAGCATTTTCTCCAAGTTCCTAGGGGATTGGTCAGTCTATCCAAAGGCACTCAGCATGAGACTGAGTTCTGGATATGATGTGCTTCTGAAGGTATATAAACCTAACTTCATTCTGGTCTTACATTAATATTTGTGGTTTGTCTTGTTTTGTAACTGCTAATGTTCTTATTTGTAAAGTTGCCATGGTTATGCAACATGGCTAAAATAGACTGTCTCTGCCCTATATTGTTTGAGAGTGTTGGGGGCAGAGGATGAAGAGACCAGAGAGGGTAAAATAACTTTTGTTTTCCTTTTATTGACAAATATAATGATTTATTTTTTTCTTCTTACCTTGCTGAAATGTACCAAATGAAGCTGTATAAGTTAATTGCACTTGGAGAGTCTGGACATGTATATAATGTCTGGGATAAAAAGGTTGTTGAAGCAGGTGCTAAGTCTAAAGACTAGTTCAAACAACTGTGTGCAGAGTTGTTTGGGTTTCTTTTCCTTCATGTGTGGATATGCTGTGGGGAACACAGAAACAAATGCATTAGGTTGAAATGAAGCTGCAGATTAGTGCACAGAATCTGACTGAGCTCTTGTTATTCTTGTATAAAGTGCTGATATTCAGCCCCATTGCTAAAGAGGCTGCGTGAGGGAAATCTTCCATGATTTCTGCCACATAAACTATACTGTGCTGCTTTCTTAGCATTTGTTGGGCACAGAAGGTTTTGGTATGGGGTGGGGTACTGACTAGGGATTCAAGAGATGTGCATTTGCAAACTGGTAGGAACAGGAATAGAATGATTTTTGGGCACATCCCTTTATGTACTTGTATCTCCATTTATCTGTGTGTAAAATAGTTGTGGTCAGTAAGAAGAAACTTGTATGATATGAAATAGTTAAGGGAAAGCTGGATATTAATCTACAGTTACTTAAATTATTAGGAGTCTTCAAAAGCTTTTATTTTTACATGTAACATCTGATTAAATAACAAACTGCAGGCAAAGGGAGGAGGTACTCTATTGCTCCCAATAGTCAGGGGAGATAACTTCCTACTGCACAGTCATTCTAGATATAGATTTCAATATATAACACACTGGGTAGTAGGGGATTAGTGATGTATTTCTTGCAGACAGGGCAAGCACAATCTTGAAAAAGAACATAGAGATAATAAACTGAATAATTGACTGGGTTATTCTTCCTTTAGAAAATACTTTGGGGACTTATTTTTTCAGCAGATTACTTGAAGTTTGTGTACAGCAATGACACCGTTCCAAAAGCTCAGGTGAAAGCTTTACATATCTTCCTTCTTCCTTCCCCTAAGAAATCATACATTTCATGTACAAATAGCCACTGATTTCTTGTAATTCAAGGTAAAACAGTGTTTAAAATGCCATGACATTTGAGGGACCAAGAAAGAACTGAAACTAACTGTAACTGTTCAGTCTGAGTGCTACTGCTGCTTGACCCATGGTCTCAAAACAGTTCTTAATGTAGGACACAGTCTTCTGGCAGAATGTAGTTGGAATTGTGTAAGTGTAATGACAGCAGGACAATTATGAGAAATTTCGAGTAACAAAACTTGAGGGAAGTGATCATGTCCCAGCAGAGAAAGGAACTTGAATCTGTTGAAATCTTTTTTTTTTTTTTTTTTTAATGTGTAAGCATACAAAAGGAGCAGGGTTGTTCTTTCACCCTCTGTACCTCCCATACTTGCTGCACTTCTTGATTTGCAAAGCTTGCAGAGCCAGTTTTCACCCTGTGAGTGCCTTCAGGGTGGAGTGAACAAAGCTTGCATGACTATTCATATTAGATCTGCAGAAGACTCATCCTTTGCCTCGAGATTGGGTGTGCAGGAGCCATTAAATGGCAAATAGCTCTTGCTTTCTCCAGTGCTTGATTTGCTCCACTTATGAACTGGATTTGTGAGGATAATTCCTTACTAGGAGTATCTGACAATGTTCTGAGTGGGAATACAGGTGCACTTCAGAACAACCTGCTTAATGTGCTGGGTACTGTAGTACTGAAACTTGGTTTGTTGAGGGTTTCTTGTTTTGGGTTTTTTGACCTGGGTGTCTGGCAAACAATCATGTAGAGCACAGTTAAAACCAGTAGTGCCAAACTCTGGCAATGGAAAGCTCTTAACTGAGCATCACCTAAGAATCCTGGATATTGCTATTTGTATTTCCTGTGATAGTACTCAGGAACTGGGTACTATCAGATTACCTTTATGCAAAGTATTATTTAAAAAGGTATCATCTTCTGTCTAAAGAGACTTAAATAAGAAACAGAACAAAGAGGAAAGGATCAGTGCAGAGCACAATTGCAATGCTATTTCATGTCATCTCAGGTTAAGTTAGTTGTTCAGTAAAAGAGGAGTAAAGAGACTGAGAAATGGGAGAAGACAGTGGGAAGGAAGAAGTGTTGAAGGGTACTTGGCAGTAGGTGAAGCAGTGGTGATGAATCTGAGGAAGTTATCTAGTTTTCTAGAAACATCCTTCCATGTTATAGAGGCCACCTCAACATAGAATATACATTCCCTCCTGGTCCCTTTAACTTGCTGAGTGTTGCAGGAGGTGGTGCCATAGCTGCACAGCAAGATAAAGTAGTTCCTTGTTTCCCATCCTGCCTTGTTATTTGGGAGTATCATTTGCTTGATACTTTGTTAGGAATATACAGGTGTATACTACTGCATATAGTAGCTGTAGACAGCCAGGTCTGGTTTGTAGCGCTTCTTTAAATGTGAACTTGGACTGTCCACAGCAATTGCCTCTTTTCAAATGCCCAGGAGAGGCATCTTTTAAATGAAAATGTACACAAACATGTGCAGTCTCCTGTCCCTTCACGGAACCAGGGGTGGGTTTCATAGAGACTATTCAATTAACAGTTTTTTCCCAAGAGTCGAGAACATCTAGTGCTTCTATCTACAGGAGTGCACCTCTATGTGGTCAGTCTTGTTCATTAGAATATGGGTTTTCACTTAGGAGCGTGTTAATAACAGTGACTTATGTGCAGAAAACTATCCATTATCTTCTCTAGTCTTAAAACCTTGCTTTTAACTAATCAGAGGTGAAGGTGTGAGAGATTTCTTACTCTTGCTAATGTTTATGACTTTCTTCCTCCCCTCCCACTGTGTTTATATTAATCTAGAGTTTGGCACAACTGACTCTGTGTCTGACATCTGGTACCAACTTCCATTGGCACTAGGGTGTTTTTAGGAACTACATCTCCTGTGGATCAGTGTCTTCAGAAAACGTTTTCATTGAAGGAATGAACACGGAGCGGGGGAGTTGTTTGTTTTCCTTGTGTGATAGCCTCTCTTCGAATTCCCAGGCCCTTCACACTGCTGCATTCCCTCTCTGGCAGCTGATCGCTTGTAGAGATCTTTGGCTCTGCACAAAGGAAATATTGAAGTGTCTTTTCAGTTCTGACAACATAGTCTAACAGCCAAGTGTATGTGTGCACACAAGTGTATGCATGTCCCCTGCTGGAATAGCTATTGAAACTGCTGCCCAATTCCTCTTGATTTTTGACAGAGGAAAGACATTTCCAAAATTTTCATAAAAATGTGTCAGGCAAGACCAGGGTTCCAATACATGCATCTTCAGCAGCTTGTGGTTCCCCGGATGGACAGCAGAGACTCTGCACAAGCCCAGTGTGGAGCTGTTTGCTGCAGGGTGAAGGATGTTGGGAAAAGGAGGAGAAGCACTCCTTTTTTCTGATACACAAGGTGCTCAGAAATGTCTGTGTGGTACTGCTTAGGTACACTCTCTGCAAGGGAGTCTGTTTGTGGGTCACTTTTCTTTTCAACCCCCCTTTCCCAGAGACAGAGGAGGAGGTGATCTCAAGTTTAAAGCTTAGGAAGAGATACAACATTGAAGAAATTTTTTGTTGTCATAAATAGTGGTAATCTCTTAAACTGTGTTTTTGAGGTTGTTCAGGTTTTTTAGGTTGGTTTTTAAGACAACTATTTCATTTTCTCAGTACTTTACCCCAAACAAGGTACCAGGAGGGAGGATAAAAGCAATGACTAGCAAACTATTTGTAGTCAAGCAGTTGCAGGGGAGGAATCACTGGTTTAAGTTTTTTTTAAAACTATGATAATGCACTTCAAATGTTGTAAGACTAAACATCATCCTCTCACTTTCTATACTCCAGTGCACACTTAAAACCAACAAAGCCTCAAAATCAAGTTAGCCTCAAGCACAGCAGCTTTCCTTTTGTTGTTGTGGAAGAGGAATGCATTAATTCAGTTGGAATTATTTTTCATCTCACAACAAGACAATTTTAAAAAAATCTGTTTTGTAGAACTGACTCACAGTCATCCTATGAATAATAGGTAAGACTTTATTTCACACAGAAATTTGTGCTGCCTCACCAGTTGAAGATTTGACAAAGCTTCTGTGAGGAGTTTGTTTCTAACAGGAACTGTTCTGTTCCCTGCATTTCATGTAGGCATCTGCCAACTCAAACTTCACTCAGCTCTAGGTGGAGAAAGGTTTTGGCTGGTTTGTTTTTTTGTTTTTTTTCTTTTAAGAGGAAACCTGCTGTCTTGGACTATAAAGCAGCTTTTGAGCACCAAAGTGCAGACTCTTGAGCACTTGAAATGTGTCTAATATAGTTTGAGAAACTCTTTCACCTTTGCTCTGAGGTCTGGATGCAAAGTGATAAGGCAAGTAAAAAAATGCAAGTCCTATTCCCAGACTTCTTTATATTTCTTGTTCTGTTCTTGATTACTTTTTTACCCTACACTCTTCAAAGAAGGAGATATTAGTGAAAAAGACCTTTTTAAAAATTAGCTTCATTAAATAGAGTTGCAAGTAATCTTAGTCCTCTAACCTGGTGTTGGAGGGGGGCAAATATGATAGAAAGAGGGAGAGATACTGTAGTAAACTATTTAAAGTTGTGTGAAAAAAAGATGGTATATGCAACTTAAATCAGACTCCCACTGTGAATGTGTGGTTTTCATTTGCTCTTTCTATGGCCTGTCTTTCCAGGACAGGGCACTTTCTGCTCTCTATTGCAGTAATTTCCAAAATCCTTCAGATTGAAGAAGATATGGGCTGTGGAACTGTTTTGCATCTTGGGAAAACACAAGAGTGGTGGACTCTTAACAGATTATCAAAATGCTTCTATGTAACAGCACAAAACTTGAGTTGTAACTTCTAATTGGCAAGGTTTAAATGAAGTGCCGTTTGTGGATTTTGTTCAAGTGGTAAGATACTTATTCTGCTTTGGGATTTATTTGTTCAGAAAGTTCTGAAGTGACTGAAGTCGCTTCCTGAAGTGACCTCACACTCCCGCAGGTGGCAGTAGTTAGAGAACAAGACAGAGCAGCTAATATATCCCAGCAGGAAAATGGATTAAATCTTCCCCTGAGAAGTGACTTTCCATCAAAGATAGCATGGAATTATGTTACTCCAGCAGGAAGCCAATTAGAAATCTGTTTGGTGATGATTGACTTAACTCCAGCACAAAGATTTAAATCTTGACAAGAACAGTCCAGCATTTCCCTATGGAGCCTCTCAAGTTGAAGATATGGGGAATATTATTTTAACACTAATATCTGAACCATACAGTAAGTGATTGTGATGAACGAGTTTTCTCTGTTCCTTCTTTGGTTTTCCTGCCTGTCCTGTGTGCTGATGAAATAGGAAATAACTTGTGCTGTATTTCATAGATCACCGATTTTCGGATCCAGAAAGAGTGAACTACAAATTTGAAAGTGGGCCTTGGTAAGTACTTTCTCCCTCTTCTTGCTGCACATGTTTTAACCCCCACCAATTCCTGTTTAAAGTTACTGTTTGGGTAATCTGTGCTTCTCTGTATTTCTAACTTTCAAATAGCTGTTACCATTATTTCTATTTGTCTTGACACTGCTGTGGGAATCAATTAGATCCTTTAAGTGGGAAAAGGAACACATATTCTATGATCGGATGCAAGCCAGTTTTCTTGTTAGGCTTCAGTGTTGCCTGTTAGCTGCTGATAGTTCTGGGTTCTGCTAATAAGTGCTTATAATGGGTGTTACGTGTACTGTGCTATTAACAAAGAATGTTACCAGTGTTGCAGAAGTAACCCTATTGGTTACTAAAACTTGCACTCTTCCTACAATTTACTCTGTAGTTACTGCATGTACATCATGATTTTTTTTATAGGGAAGTAACACTTCTGTAAAGATACTGAGTCAGAGATACTGTGCTACCAGTCTATTGCTTAAGCTGCCATGATTATCTTATTCCCAAATATGTTTTAAACATAAAACTTTATCTGCTTTTGACTGCTTTGTTGTTTGCTTTGGTTTTTTAAATGTAACTGTGTTCTTTCTATGTGTAAATCCCAATTTTTTTCAGTGTTTTGCTGGATGCTCCTCTGCAATATCATAAGAGACTGATGTTAAACTGACTTTATTTATATTCCTATCTTCCACAAATACTTACTTTCCCCTTCCAGGTTAAGGATCTGTCATAATGGTAGATGATGCTGACACTTCTGAGCCAAAAGAAGCAAGAAAAAAATATTGGCAGAAAGTATCCAGAGAGATTATCTCAGGGGTTGTGTTCAGCACTGTTCTAAGCTCTTTACTTTTCACTAACAAAATTCTATGGTGAGGTGGAAGATTCCCATCTTATTTGAGATAGAAGTACAGAATTAGGAGGCAAGGGGAAACAGTTTGGGACAGACAGCTACAGAAAGGCCACCTGAGAAATTAAAATATGAGTGAGAAACATGACCCTTCTATAAAAAGGCATACCACAGGCCGTTTGTATGAGGGAGTTCTCTGCTACTGAACAGCACTTCATCTGCTTAATCAATCATATTGTCTCTTCTGTGCAAAAACCTCTTCTTGCAGTAGCCAGAAAGGCAGCCTTGGGTAGCTGTGAGCATTTTGTTATAATCGACACTTTTAACAAGTAAGAGAACAAAAGAGATTGCGGTAATGACCAATTAAACCTGGCTTTCTGTGGCTGAGCTATTCCCATGCTAAGCAGCCAATGTAGCCCTTAGCTATATTAGTCCCTAATAGCAGGGTGATGGCCTGAACAAGCAATGTTACAGCTTAACTCTTGGGGCAGGAGTCTTGTGTGTGCTGAGTACAGCCAAGAACAGATTTGGTCTTGGCAGGTGACTGGCTCTTACATGCTGTCCAGTACAAGTAATAAACACTAATCTCAGTTACACTTAATTGCTCTACTTCAATTTCCACCTATCTAGATTAGAATAGCAAGTGCTTGATTTTTATACCAGCAGCCCTGTTCAGATAATGGAGAAGCACAAACGATGTCAGGAGAGGGAAGTAAATTGGGAACATAATCAAAGAGATGACAGCTGAAAGAGCAAATGTAGTGAAGCAGGAAAAGGGAACTGGGAAAGTGGTAGCTTAACAAAGCAAACTTTCCCTGGGAGAGACTTTACCTAAGAGTGGCTTTCAGTTGTGGTGTGGCTTTGGATGGTGGTGACACTTGAGCCTCTACCATCCAGCAAACATGGAGCAGGGACAGAAGCCTGTCACTGGAACACAAACAGCAAGAAGAGAGGGTGGTGCATGGCAGATACTACAGGCAAAGGTCTCTCCCTGTTTCTGTGCCTGCAGCAGCAAGATGGAGCTTGTGGATGACAATGCTGTTATCCGAGCAAGAGGATTGCCATGGCAGTCATCTGACCAGGACATAGCAAGATTCTTCAAAGGCCTAAATATTGCCAAGTTAGTAGCTAAGAATTTACCTGTACAGTTGTAGTCCTTCAGCAAATAAGTCACAGAGTTTCATCTCTTTTGGTTTAAATCTTGCAGGGGAGGTGCTGCACTCTGTCTCAATGCCCAAGGTAGGAGGAATGGGGAGGCTCTCGTGAGGTTTGTCAGCGAAGAGCACAGAGATCTAGCGCTACAAAGGCACAAACATCACATGGGGAATCGATACATTGAGGTGCGTGACACTGGCTTTGAAATCCTCTTCTCAAAAGGAATGCAAATTTCATGCCAGTCACATGTTCTCTTTTCTTCATTTAGGTATACAAGGCAACAGGTGAAGACTTCCTGAAAATTGCAGGAGGTAATTTTTAGGGGATGAAAAGGGATCACTAACTTCTGGCTTTAAACTAAAACTGCTCCCATTGAATGTGGCCTTTCACTTTCCATCTTTGAACACGTTGGCTGTTGCATTGATTACTATGTATTCTGCTAGCAGGAGTCAAAGATGTTCTATAATTTATCTGTCCACCTCTCTCTTCCATATTCTTACCATTTTCAAGCAACCTGTCAAATCAGGATTTGATTGGGCAAAGTGATCTTCTATACAAACCTAATTTTTTTAGGTGGTCATAACTGTGGGGATCTAAATGTTGTTGACTGCTGAAAAAATGAAACCAGAGTAGTTTTTCAAAGCAATATGACTGCTGTTGCTGTGGTGACTCACATAAAAACCAAATGGATATACTGTAAATACAAAAGATTCATGGAACCAACTTTCTTCAGATCAAATCTTTGCCTCAAACATAATGGGGAGGATTTAGGGAAAATACTTATTGGAGGGGAATATTGAAATATTTGCTGATAATTGAAAGGCAGTAAAATTTGCTCTACAAACTCTCCCTTGGTCTCTTTTCCTCTCCTTTATGTCTGAAAGCATATGGAATTTGAATTAAGATCCAATAAGCTGTTATATCTACAATACTACCTTAAGGTCCTTGTTGGTCCCTGACAGAGATTTGGTCTGGGGATTCTAAATGACTGACCGGATATCTGAGTTTGAGGTGTTAGTGTTGAAAAGGCTGTTAAGCTGTCAACTAAAGAACTACTGAAAGGCTTGGTAACAGCTGTACTAGCCAAAGTAAAGATATTGCACACTGGTGTTGGTGAAGAATGGTGCATGTCTGGTGCAACCAAACTCGACAGCGTGAGAGCTGTAAGTGAAAGGACTGAGTTAAGCTATGAAGTTGGTTAGCAGCCACCTTTGGACAGGGTAGTGTTTTGAGCATCCCTGGGCTTCTCGTAAAAGTACTGAAAGAAGAATTGGCAGACTCTGACATTTCTATCAGGATAGGATGAAATTCCTGAGCTGTTTTCAACATGCCCTTCCAACTTTCCTTCCCAGCATGATTATCTGGTACTTGGTTGCTGTATGTTACAGTTTTAGTGCATGATGAAGGTATTCCAAATTCAGAAAGGTGAAGCACACAGTAGCACAGGTACTGGTTACACTAGAGATTAAGAGACTATGCTTTCCTTGGACTTTGAACACTGCAAGTACTTATTTTACTTTCAAATAAGGAGAAATATCCTCTAAGTGATGGAGTAACATTATTATACTTTAATGGGAGGTGTGTTTTACAATATAGTTTATCAGAGGGACATCTTTCCTGACTTTTGAGGCAAATACTGTTCTACCTGCTCAAAAAATATCTGTGGGGAGGACTTAGCTATGCCAGACTTGCTCATGATTTTATATGGCTGCCTAGACTTAAGTGCTTCTGTACCCTTCCTTGTTAAAGGCACGTCCAACGAGGTTGCACAGTTCTTGTCAAAAGAAAACCAAGTGATCGTCAGGATGCGAGGTCTTCCTTTCAATGTAACAACAGAAGAAGTGCTGACTTTCTTTGGCCAACACTGCCCTGTAACAGGAGGGAAGGAGGGAGTCCTGTTTGTCACATACCCTGACAGTAGGCCAACAGGGGATGCCTTTGTCTTGTTTGCTTGTGAGGAATATGCGCAAAATGCACTGAAAAAGCATAAGGACTTGCTGGGGAAAAGGTACATTGAACTCTTCAGAAGCACTGCAGCAGAAGTTCAGCAGGTGGGTGCAAACTTTGCAGACATCGGCTTCTTGTAATCCAAACTTCCACGCTGGCAGCAGTGGAAGCAAATACTACTTGGCCATGAGTTGACAGCTTTTATCTTCTCTCACTCTTGACTCTTGCTGGAATGAGTACTGTCTGAATTTCTATGAGCTTCTGCTCCCTCAAAAACGTAAGACTATGGTATATGGATGTTCTTAATCATATACACAAACCCTTAGGGTTTTGGCTTCCAGTAGCTTTGCAGAAAGTTAATGTGAGTCTAGTGCTTTACTCGACAGATACTGAATTTTAGAAAGTCCAATGATGGCCTTATTCAGAAGGAGTGTTAGCAATAAATCTTGATCTAAAAGACTTTAGTCACTGACACAGAAAAGCAGAGCCTTTTGATATAGTTGTCCTCTTCAGAGCAATGTATCTGAAGAGTCTTACAAACTGCCTCTAAGGGTAGATCTCTGCCATCTTCTGCCAACACAGGCTACCTAGCAGAGGGTGGCACGACTTTGTGAAACTGGGCCTGAAGAGCCTGGTGTTAACAGGCTTTGGTGCACTATTAATCGCAGTTATGCTGTCAGGGAAAGGAAGTAGGGCTGAGAGGATTGTTTAAGTCTCCAAAGACTTGTAGAGCTTCAGCTGAGACCATTAACGTCTAAATATGATTCTAAAAGGTGTCATCTATGATGCAAATTATAGCCATGTCATTGTAACCAAGAAATGATGCAGCTCTGTTCTCCCAAGGTATGTAGAGATTTCAGTGCCATGTTTAAAAGGTGCCAGTAATGATAAGGCAGAGCTGCAACACTCACTCTTGTCATTGTATTTTTCTCAAGTGGTCTCATATGTTTGTTTTAGTAAAACCTTCTGGTAGCTGTATAAATGCAAATAAATCTTTATCTTGCTTAGAGTTCAAGAGTAATGATTGAATATTCAGAGAACTCTTCAGCAGGCAGGGCTTTTACTGTTAAAATTTTTAATAGGAAATCTCAAAGTGTGACTGTCACAGATACTGTGATTCAGCAATGCCACCTGTTACTTGAATGGACTATTGCATCCCCAATCAGGTGTTTGGTAGTGAAACATGCTTCTGGTTCCCAGATTCTCCTAAAGTCTTGCAGAGGAGATGTTTTGGGGTAAAAGTGTCACCATGACTCTGTAGATGGTAGAACGTCTTAGGATATTCTCACAATAAAAATACTGTAGGAATAACGTAGAAATTCAGCTTTTGTGTTCTGAGATCTCTTCTGAGAGTTACATTAACAGTTCAAGTAAATTCTTGAAAACAAAATTGTTTTTCAAGAAAAAATTCATTTTAAAACATCTGAATTCTAAGCACTGCTGTTGTAGTTTAAACTCAGAATCTAGCTCATTTTTGTCTTAAAATACTGCAGTGAAAACAGTGAGTGAAAACAAATGGCATTGGGTTTATGTTCCGTCCCTCTGAGTTGAAGAATGAATAAGGAGGCTTCCTGTAACTTCTGTTCTTGTTTGCACAGGTGCTGAACAGGTACTCTTCCACACCTCTCATTCCTCTTCCAACACCTCCTATTCTTCCAGTATTACCTCAACAATTTGTGCCTCCCACCAACATCAGAGACTGCATACGTTTGCGTGGTCTTCCTTATGCTGCTACTATAGAGGACATCCTGGAGTTCTTGGGAGAGTTTTCCACAGATATTCGGACCCATGGAGTTCACATGGTGCTGAACCACCAGGTTGGTAGGCGACATAGTTCCAGACATCTACCAGATGCCTGTATGTGTTAACACAATCCTTCTGAGGATATCAGGAGGGAAACACCTTTGGGATTGGTATTAATGGGCCTCCAGCTCTCCTCTAAAGGTCTACTGGCAACAGATGGTTTGAAACCCTGCTCTGTAAGCTGCTGCGTTTGCTGTAGAGTGGTTTCTGTTACTGAGACCCATGTGCTGAAAGCTAAGCCACAGTCTTGGAGGGGTTGTTGCTCTCAGAGCAGCAGCTGTGATCCTGCACTGTAGGAGGCTTGAACAGAAGAGTCTTGCTCAACAGCATGCGTGATTCCTCTTGTGCCAGGCAAGGAGTGCCTTCCAAACAGAAGTGTGGGCAAATGTTAATTCTCAAAGGAGTGGTTTGCCCCTGCCTTGCTGAACAATGTGCATCAGGTATATTTGAGGACAAATGGGGCTGCAGCCTTCTTGGGGCAGTATTTCCTATGGCATGAGTCAGAAGCTGAAGCTTTGGGACTTCCTGTTCTGTGTTGTTGCTCTCTTTAAACAGTCACAGCTAAGAACCAAGAATTAGCAGCTCACTGAAGTGTGAAATGCCACTGTTTTCTGGAAGAAGTTCCTACCAGAACTTTTTAGACAAATTATTGTGCATTCTTGTCATCTTTCTTTGTATTCATGTGACTTTAGGAGGAGGAGTTGGCAGATCCTTTATCTTTATGGAGATGCTCTGAGTGGTTCAACTGATAACTGATTAAACTGATAATTGTGGTATAAAAATGGTAGTTCTAAAATTCTTTCAGCTTAGTGTCATCCAAAATTACAAAATACTTCCTTGTCCCAGAGCAGGGCTTTTATGTGTTTCAGGAGTATGGGGAGGGAGAAGGGACTACAGTTATTTCTTCAGTACCTCTCTATCTAAGGAGTTTCTTGTGTCTGTGAGGACTTGACCTAGCCAAGGCTGAAAAACAATAATAAATGTGCACTGCTGGGAGAGGCTAAGAAATGATGCAGATGTTAAAGTACAAGTAATGATTTACAGTGGTATCAGTCCTTGCCAGCAGTAATGAAAGAACCTGGATGAAGAAATTGGTGTGTGCATATAGTCTCAAGGGCTGTCTGCAACCCTTGCCCTGCCCAAAGTTGTCAGAATTTTTTTCCCCAGGTACTGCTTTTGCCTGACTAGATTTGTATCTTTCTTTCTCCATGCACCTGCCATTTCTGGTTTAACCCTCTAATTGTGAACGACTGTACAAAAGATGGTGATAAAGTTTTTCTTCCCTCCAAAACAAGAACAACTGGCCCAGAACTTAAGTTACAGCTGGCTTCAGATTCCTACCTCTAGTTTTGGCTGCTTCAAGTCAGCAGCTGCATGTAGCTAAAACGACTCCTCCCAGTGGTGTATCCCACTCACAGCTACATACATAAAGTACTGTTTGGGGTTTTTTACCTCTGCAACAAGCTCATACCAAGCCTTCTAGTAGTTAGTATGTTTATAAAACAACCCTTGTAAAACAAAAAAAAAAAAGCCCATATTGGTTTTCACAAAATGAAATTTAAAAAAAAAATCACTTAACATATGGAACTTGACTGTATTTATCCTTGGGTTTTAAAAGTCATAAGTAATAAGTGGGGATTAGGTCTTCCAGTTCTGCAGTCTTACTGAATTGTTAAGAGCAGGTCTCAAAGTACCAAAGTACCCCTCAATTACAGTCTCTCCTATAGGAATTTTTTTTTCTTTAAACATAGAAGCAACATGGCTCAGGTTATACTGTGGCTTAATCAAATTAGATGAATAAATACAATCAAGTTAGCACAAGTGGGAAAAACCTTGGAGAGAACTTAAACATGCTGATGGGTGCTCAGGTTGACTGAGTGTACTTGACTTTAGAAATAAATATATTTATGACTAAAGAGACTGCTTTTAACAGCACAAATTATTGTTATGCTGCTTCTTCACGGGAGCTCCTGAAACATTTTTGTCTGCCTTGTTTGTAGGGGCGTCCATCAGGAGATGCTTTTATTCAGATGAAATCTGCAGATCGAGCTTTCCTGGCTGCACAGAAGTGTCATAAGAAGACTATGAAGGACAGATATGTTGAAGTCTTTCAGTGTTCTGCTGAGGAGATGAACTTTGTATTAATGGGGGGCACTTTAAATCGAAATGGCTTGTCCCCACCACCATGTAAGTTACCATGTAAGTTTTGCTTGGGTCTTGTCAATACTCTACACTGTGTGCGGGTAGGTGTTGGAGCTGCTCTGTTGACTTGGATTCTGGTTCCTGGAAAGGATTGTCAGATGGGGGTATTAAAACGAGGTCTCTTTGTCTTAAATCATCAGCAGCTTGCAATCATTATTTTTCCCTTGGGTTGTAAATTATTGTGACTGGAGAACTACTTTTGCTCTTCCATTGGCAGTTTTTCCCTCCCCTTTGTGAAACTTAATATCATTGGGGTGAGTGATTCTGAAAAGTAATTTGTAAGCCCTGATGAGACCTTAAAGAATTGTTTCCCATTTAAACTGGTTTGCATTTATGTTTTTCATCGTGGCGAACATGTCGAGTAAAAGTCCTTCCCCTTTTTCTTCCAAAACTTATAATAACCCCTTTGGGACTTAATCACAACTGTTCTGCCTTTTGAACCACTACCAACTAAACTCTTCCTTTCCTTTTTGTTGTTCGTACAGAATTGAGGTTCCCTGTATTGGGAGTAAAATACACTGGCTTTGGCCTCAGAGAATTGCAGAAACTGTATTTCCTTTTAAATTTTGCTTCTCAGAGCTGCTTGGATGAACATGGACTTCAAGACATGTTTGGGAGAAATAGCTTAAGGGCTAACTTACTAAGCTTATGTACCACATACATCTGAGCCTATGGGAAAAACAATACTTTGCTTACAAAATCATAAACGGCAAGGTAGTCAAGTAGGAGCTTTATCTTTCTCTCTGTGCGAATGTATTATTGTTGGTGGACTTTTTAAGAAATGTCCTCTAAACCCTAATCAGAGCTGCCAGTATGGCCACAAACTTCTTGGGAGTGGCTTCTTGTGAGTACAAGTAGACCTTCAGCTAATCCTTTAGAGATTTTTATTTTTTTTTCCCAGTGTAAGTATCCTGAGCAGGGATCAGCAGTATGTAGCCCTATGTGTGACAGCTGTTCTAGACAGGGGTTGGAATGCTCTGAGCTCCTAGGACAGGTTCCTGGGCAGAGTCCCAAACTTCAGGTGGCAGTGTTCCCGTTTCCAACTACAAATGCCTGTGATGTATTCCTCAGATAAGGCTTTTTGCTCCGTCACTGCCCCATTTCCCAATATTTACTGTCATTTTAACTCTGAATAGCAAAAATAAAGGCTTATTTTATTTAAAGCTTCTTTATGTTCACCTTTATGACACTGGGGAGGAGAAGAGAGAAGCAAAAGAAGAAAATGACAAAGGAGGAGGGTGAACTCTCATCAGTGAGAATTCATTTAGGGCCTTACATCTTGTTGGAACACCACAAAGTGCCCTTTGAGTTTTTTTTTTAAACTTGATATTAACACTTGAAGCTGCAAAGCCATGACTTTGCTTGGTCTGCTGTTGGTTGATTAATTGAAGGCAGATGTTTGAGGTATAGAGAATATCTAGATATTAAAAAAAAAAAGTGTCCTCTCTCCTGGAGGATGTTAGACAGATCTTTATCATGGAAGTTTCTTTCTTACACTGGAGAAGTCTCATGCTTCTTGATTGCAGACTTCATTAAAATCTGAGCCTGAAAAAAAAATTGGCCTGCTCTTCAGAAAGATACCCTATTTTCAGAGCAAGAGGTGGCTTTTAGTGCATTCCTGACTTTGCTTTTTGACTGGGAGGTGAACACAACCCTTGGGGTCAAGCCACGTTGGTGGCTCAGATTTATTTTCTGTGATGAGTAAGGGAATGAGAAGCTTGTGAAGGCTCTTGACATACTGCAGGATTGTTGTGTGTGTACGGTCTTTGTTATCTCTGGAATTCAAGAGTTCCTAATCTATTTTCCATTTGTTCCCTTTAGGCCTTTCACCTCCTTCCTACTCCTTTCCAGCTCCTACTGCAGTTGTGCCAACAGAAGCTGCTCTGTATCAGCCATCCATGCTCCTGAACCCACGAACACTCCAGCCCTCCACAGCCTACTACCCTGCTGGGGCTCAGCTCTTCATGAACTACACAACATATTACCCCAGGTAAAGCAGAGGAGAAACCAAGCAGGAACAAAGAAGTCTTTTTTTGCAGCAAATGCACAAAGCTCACAAAAGAACATTGTCTGCTCTGCTAAAGGCTTGTGTTACCAAGAACAACGTGTTCGGTATCTTGTTCAGGGAAAAAAATTAAGGATATCAACAGACTTTCCAAGTTTTAGAGTATTTCAGGTAGCCATAGTTTTTTGGGGGTTGGTTTGTTTATTGTCTGCTTTTGGTTGGTTTTTTTTGCCTTTTTTTTTTTTTTTAAATGTAGGTCACACATTTAAAAGGGACATTTTTGATTTTTTTTTCTTTCTACTTAACATGCCTCTCAAGCTTATTAGTTTGCATAGTTATGCCCTCAGTGAGAACTGATGAGTGCAGTATTCCTTCCCATGCCTGTAAAGAAGCCCTTGGCCCCTCTTTAGAATGGGTAGATGTGGGTCTGCCCTAACAGCTTCTGAAATTCTGCCTGTTTTTGGTTTTTTTAACAAAGTAACTTTTGACTTTTTTGGTGAAAACTGTTTACTTCTATAAATAAGTATTGCATTGAAGCATATCTGTATTGAATGCATATGTAAAGCATATAGAGGCATATATTCTTCCTGACCTCAAACACCTCTCACAAAGAGCTTTTGGCTCTTCTGGATATATTAACTGTTTTCAACAGAACAAAAACTCTGGATAGCATTTGCCCTCTGCAGTCATGAGGCCTTGGAAAGAGCCATGTTCCCTATAAGCCATAAACCATTCGTCATCTGTCAGGGAACCTGTTAAAGAACTCAAGTTTTTTTGTGTCTGGAGAAGGGTCTGAATAGCTACTTAGGTAGTTGTTAAGCAATATGGACTCTCCTGTACCTGTAAGATAACAAAGGTTTTCTTATTACTTTACACTAAACCAATATGTCTGTGAGCTGCCTGTTGTTGTTTTGCTATTAAAATGTTTTCTTCACTCATCAGTTAATTTCTATAATGTCTTCAATAACTGTCTTATGGTTATGATAATGTTACCAAACTCAGCCTCATTAATGTAAGATTAAGAAAAATAAAATTCCAAACTTGCACTGGCAATGTAAACCAAGTTTCTCAATAACAGTTCTATATGTCATGAAAACATAATAATAATAATAGTTTGTTATAACTTTGACATGTTTTACTTCTTAATAAGACTGGCCACTGCAAGCTTAGTGTCAGGCCCCACACAGATCTCTCACTGAATGGGGTCCCACGAGAGTCCCGTCGCTGGCTGCTTGGGCTGTGGGCATGTATGTTGGTTACAGACTGATCAGCCCCAAGTCCCTAAAAATCCTTTCTATATTTGTGTCTAACTGATAGTTGTTCACTGTTCTTAAGAAACCGTTCTTACATAGCTTCTTTGCCAATTACAAGTACCTCCATTTCCAAGAAAATAAGAAAAAATTTCTGGAGTCGACTTCTTTCTGTGTTGTGAGATTCAGCGTTTGACTACTGCTTTTCTATCCAGAGTAAATGTTTGATCTACAGACAAATTGTATATACTCCAGTAGATGTAGTGCTCCTTTGTTGCTGACATTTTGAGCTATTTTTTCCTAAAAATGAAGTTTTGTTACTTTTTAGACAAGTTTCTTTGCTTTGTAAAGAATACAACAGTAATTGGATCCCTTTGAAGTAGCAATCAGAACTCTCTCTAAAATGTAGTCTTCTGGTTCTGAAATCTAATTCCAAAATATTTAAAGTATGTGCTGCAGGAAGGAATGGGGTATCCTCTGTACTAAGTGGTGCATTTAAATGCATGTACATGGAAAAGCAATAGAGAGCTGGTGGCTAATGATCAGACAATGGTTCATAAATCTAACTAGTGAATACTTATGGAAATAAGGAAAGTTTCTTTGACCTGCTGCCAAAAGGTTCTACCACTTGTGTTTTGCAAGGTCAAGTTGCTTTATAATAATCCAATTCCCTTTTCCACACAATCAGTGTAGAGGCAGGCATTGTTTTGGTCTTCAGTATCTATCAGAAATCCTGAAACTCTCAGACTCATCTTAATGATAAGTCTTGTTCTCATCTTAATTCTCTTGTAGCTTTTGGTGATGAAACCCAATGGTGTAAAGAAATGGATGCCTTCTAAGCTATTAAAATAGCTTTAGTGAATTCCTAATGAAAAGGAGGGAGAGCAAGTTATTCGGGATCTGTCAGTCTTTGATATCTCTCTTCAGCTTGTAATTATATCTGGCAACATGCTCTGACAGCAAATCAGTGGTCTCATTCTCTGTCTAGTCCCAGGCTTTTAAGAAAGAACAATAAGATTCATGGGAGGGAGGAGTTTTTCTTTATCTAATCCTGAATAAATGAGTGTACTAGGTGCTGTATGTACATTGAAAGTAATGAATAACTGCTCTACTTGGCAATTGCTAACATGTTCTACAGAAACTTTTTACCATATACAAACTTGAAAGCTACTACTACAAGGTATGCAGTTTTAAAACAAAGCTGAGTCTTACTGTATTTATTGAGTTCTATGCCATTTTTATCACTTTTAAGCATTACCTTTAAAACCTCAAAAGTATCTGTCAATCTATACATCTAGTAGTAAATTTATAATTTGTACTTTTTTAACAGTATTTTAAGTAGTGCAGTGGAAGAGAAGCTTCTTACTCAGTGGGTACTGTGCTTGTAGAACTCATAGCCAAAACATGGTGTGGAAGCTGAAGACTGATGTGGGTTCAAACAAACTGGATAAATTCCATGGCAGGAAATTCATTGTGAGTTTGTGAATACACTGAAACCACACCTGGCTCAGGAAGTCCTTGAACTGAAAATAACTAGAAAAGTGTTCTTCTGTTCTGTGTCCTATGGTAAATTCTTGTGCTGTTGAGCTGAGGTGTGTAGGAGAACTTGTTTGTTCACACCTTTTGTAGTGCTTGTCTTGAGATACAGGCACTGCTTGAGAGTGTGGGCCTGTTGCAGTGTGTTTATTGCTGTATTCAGTTGTGCTGGTCTAATAGTGGCTGGGTTTGGGTTTATCTCCCTGTTGTGCCACTGTGGATACGGTTCCCTTTATTGGAGTGGTTTGAATTAAAAGGTCTTTTTATGCAATGAAGTTATGATTATGATACTTCCTGCACAAGGAAATACAGGATAATCTCTTAGTGTTCTCATCTGTCTGCTTCTGTCTCTTCCTGCTATGGATTAGGTGTGGTTTTTCTCATTATACACTAATCAACTTGTATATACATGTGCAACATACATATATAGTGTTAATATTTATGTATGCAGACCTACAGAAGTATGGCTGTATAAAAGTGAAACAACTAAGGTTAGAAGAAACTCTCACTTGTTCTCTGTGATGGGTCAGATCCTCTGTAATGACCATCATGGAAAGCAAGTGAGGCTTTTTTCTACCTTGGTCATTGCTCAGACCTATATTGAAGCACAAATAAGTTACATGGAGTTTAAAACTGGCAAAGCTAGAAACAAGTAGGCTGGATCAGAGCGATACTAGTCAGAGCTGCTGCCAGCAGCTTTGTTTGTGTATCTCTGTCTGGCTAACCAGCATCACTTGACAGAACTGGGTTAGGAAACAACCATATGTGTATTTAGCCTGGGAGCTTTGTCACAGATGGAGAACAGCAGCAGCCAGAAACAAAACCTCTTCATCAGCTTAGTTGTACTCACAGCAACATAGCAACACTTGGAACCCCAGCTCTTAGACTCTTTGCACTCTTTTTTATTATTATTACTGTACTAAGTGTGTCAGCTTGGATTGCATGAGATCACATCTGCAGTGAACGGGCTCATAGAAGCCTACTGGTGGCTTTCAGTTGCCATCCAGCAAATGGAGTTCACATGATTACGTCACGTGGCAGAATCTGGGACTCTTTGTTACCTATCCTTGTTCATCTTGGTTTCCATCATGAATTTGTCAAAATAACCTCAACTCTTTAGTTAAAGGCACAAACTTGTCACTAGAATGATTTCTTGGGTGGGACACTTAATGATTCACTTTTGTAAATGAATGTAACTTGCCAAGAATTAGAACAGCAGAATGCCTTGAAGTGCTACTGTGTTTTGTTGGAGGAGCAGTGCATTAACAGGGAAGATTAATTGTTGCATGCCTTTGTAGGCTGTCATTATCCCTTCATTTGTAGGTTTTAATTAGTAAAATTACCATGGTGTCTGAAAAGCAGCAGAAAGGTAATGCTCTGATCAATATTTATCTGTATATCAGGATAGTAAAATTATTTAAATGAAAAAACAAAATGAACTCCACCATACAAAAGAGGACCATGGATTCTTCCTTTTGTTTGTGTAACATACTGAATGACTTGACTTTCAGCTAGCAGCTCTCACTGTTGTCTTTTGACTTTTCCTTTGCTAGGTGATAAAACATTTGAATTAGTCTGAGTTATTAATTGGTATTACGACATTGCTCAAGCTTGCTGCAGAGACCAGTTTGAGTGTAGTTTTTCATCTTGCTTATTTACAACACAGTTCAGTGATGGGAGAGATCTGCCTGTTGTGCCTCAAGGCATGTGTGTCATCCATGCAGGTGGCTCTCTTAAACATTGTGGTGATCTCAGGTTATTCAGGGCACAGAGATATATTGGATGCTTCTCTTTACTCAGAAGCAGCCTTCTCTGGAGTGTGTTAAAAGTCCTAACACTACCCAGGGCCGACCTTTTCAGTCTTCTGTGGTAGAAAGTGTTTCTGGCTCCATTCCCCCTGCTTCTTGTTGTCATGCTACCATCAACTTACACAGTTGGGAAGCTGATTGCGATAGTCAGATGGAGTGGGCAGCAGGTTATCTGATTAGGTGTGGGGAAGGCATCTGTACTGAAGGAGCTTTTGGTGTTTCCAGGGGTAGAGTTGGGTTGGTCTTAGAATAAGGCTCCTTAGACCTGAAAGCTTTTATTTAGTCTTCCTTATTGAGAACAGAGTCTGTGATATTTGTCCATGATTAAACAGCAACCACGGGGATCTAAATGTTTCTGTTTGATTAACAGGTGACCTGATGGCTTAGTGCTCATACTCCTGCTATTTGTCAAGTTTCATGGCCTTTCTTTCTTTAAATGGATAAACATTTCAGTCTTGGAAAAGGAAAATTATTCTGGTTATGTAAATACTTTTGCTAATAGCATGTCTTGTTAGTTTTTGGGAACAAAGTACCATGCTAAAACTTTCAACTTTGGTAATTATACTACAAAATTTACAAGCTTTCCTTCTCTCAAACTTTTGTATGAACCACTTCTAAAAAAGCTTTATAGTGAAGCTGCATTTCCTCCTGCTTTTGGGCTGCTTTCCAGCAATGAACATTATAGGCATTGTGCTGCAAGCTTGCGTATATGTGCACATTGTAACCGTGTCCTGTGCCAGCCAAAGGAGTAGTTGAAAATCCTTTGCAGTCTCTGAAAAAATCTGCTGTTCACTGGATTTTGGATTGATCTGTCAAAACAGGTGATGTGCACCTATTGCTTTTTCTGGTCCTCCTGCTGACTTCAGTCAGAGCATCTGACTTTGGGGTGCTGCAGAGCTGCTTAGGGTCTGCTGAGCTTCCTAGACCTCACAAAGGAGGGGATAATTTCATCTTGAAATGCTAGTGGATGAGTTTGACAACTCTTCTTTCCCTACTAGTGTTCCTCTGCATATTACAGTAAGACCAATGTACAACACAGGACCTGTCTTAGAGTCCTGAAATTAATAGAAGCTGTCAATCAGTAGCTTGAGAAAAGGTTATCTTCAGTATCTGTTGTCACAAAGCAGAAAATAGTTAATACTTAACAAAAAAAAAACTTCTTCAGGACTACAGAGAACAAAGTCACAGGAAAAACAGAGATCGAAAATCTGCAGGGAGAGAAATGAAACCTCTAGATGGTGTCTATGCACGTATCTGTTCCTATGTGCAAATAGTGCTGGGTATGTCTGTGGTTCTGTTGATTGACCTGCAGGATACTTGGCAGAGATCTGAAAACCTGCTCGGCTGCGTGTGCTGACTGCTCCCAACTCACACCCACTTGTAATATAAACCACAGCTTCCTTCTGGATATTTGTATCTGTTAAGCAAATGTATAATGGAAAAATGTTAGGAAATCAGGAGAGATCGGCGATGTTTCCTCAATGTTTCCACATACCTAAGTGATGAATGTTTGGGATCCCTTTAAGACTATAAATGCTGCTGGAATGACAACATCAACCTTTAGAAGATGTGAAAACTTTTTCTTGCATCCGAAAAAAAGGAGGGGAAGAAAACTGAAAGGGAAGCGCTCTTTCCCCAGCAAATGCTGTCCCACCAAAGCTGATGGGAAAGCATATGGAGGTACAGCAGCAGGGCCAAGTGGCTGAGATGGTGGGAAAGCTGTTCTCTGGGACACCAGAGAAAGGTGTCAGGGCCACTGCTGCAAATTCTTGTGGCCTGTCTCTCAGCAAAGGCCAGGGAGGCAGAGGAACTTCAGTTTAACAGTGATACCTTCCCAAGACAAGGGCTGGATCTGTGTTTCAAAAGGAAGGCAAGACTGCCCAAGGAGTCTGTCTCATTGCTTTCTGGTGCTTTGTTTGGTTGTGGGTTTTGGTTGGTTTTGTTTTTTGGGGTTTTTTTGGTGTTTTTTGGGGTTTTTTTTTGTTTGTTGGTTTGTTTTTTTTGTTTTGGGTTTTTTTTGGGTTTTTTGTTTTGTTTTTTGTTGTTGTTTAGGTTTTTGTTTGGGGTTTTTTTTGGGGGGGGAGGGGTGTTTGATTTTTTGGACAAGATAATTCTGTATTGCCTTACTAAATTAGCTCCCTTCAGAAAGCTGCATCGTGGTCTACTTTGGGGGCTGGATTTTTATCCACACTAATAAGAACTCTGCAAAGAAAGCTGGTAAAAAGGTCTCTTTCCTTGCTCTTCCCGTTAGTTTTGGAAGTAATGGGGTTGTTCTCATAAGGATTCTAGAAAAACGTAAAATATTCTATATCTTCCGTTCTCTTATGGTTTTCTGTTACCTCAGATGCACAAATGGTCCTTTCTGGAGGGAAGGACAGCCTCAGCTGGCTGGCCAAAAAGACTAATGTTAATGACACTCTTTTTATAAAGGTGTGCAGGTGCAAATAGGCTGGAGGGATGCTCACTAAATCCAAAAGCAAAATAATTTCTTTTAAGTAAATGTTACAAATATATACAAGCATCTAGCAGTAGATGGATACTCATGTGGATTGCATGACATTTTAGCAAAAAGAGGATATTTTCTGGAACTGGCAATTCAAAACAAAACAGTTAAGTAGCTACAGATTTGTGGCAATTTGAACAAGGCTATGAAAGACCTGGCAAAGAATAGCAAAGCTTCTGTAATCTACAAATTGAGTATTTTGGGCATAAGAAAATAATTTTTATTACTCCTGAATAAATTATGTTATTGTGGCGTTAATATTGCTTTAAAGCAAGAAAAGCGTGTCTCTTCATGGCACTAACCTTTAATATCCTGAATATCCTGCAGTTGCCACTGACCACAAAAGATGCTGTGTCTAAAAAGTCCATGAAACGGAAGTAAATGAAAGCAAATACTGCCTTGGTGGCAGCTCTGGAGAGTTCCTTCCTCAGGTATATTTGGCAGACAGGTAATAGGGACTATTAATCTGGATCTGGTGTCCAAACTGTGGATGGACATATCTGCCATGGGTTCACATCCTTACTCTGTAGCTACTTAAAAAAAAGGGGGGGGGGGTTGGAGACAGCATGTGATAGCAGTTATTTTCAGCCTCATTAGTGTCATAAGGTAACCCCTGGATCTTTTGTTTAAGAAACTGAGTAGTACATAGGTATATTGATTGTGGTAGTATTTTTTTAGGGATTAGTGTGGCTATTAATATCATGGAAAAGGCATGCAGGAAACCATTAGTGAGATGTGTTGTGGTAAGTTTGTATGAAAATGCTACTCTACAGCATAAAACCTTCCTACAGCTGTTTTTCTGACAATAGGCTCCAAATTGATAGAAATGATTACAAGTGTTGTCCTTGGCATCAGGCTGTCTCTGCTGTTTAGTGAAGAATTATTCACAGAGGTACCCAAGAACATAAAACTGTAGAGATAAACAAACATAAGCAGTTCCTACAGAAAATGGAAAAAGCAACTCTCTTAGACTTGGATGGTTGTTTACTGTAGAAGCAGCAGTGTTAAACTTCATTGAATTTCGTTTGCTTCATGAAACCCCTTGAAAAGGTTTGCTCAAGGAGAAGCCGCAAACACGTTTATGTTGTGTCCAGGAAGGGCTTGTCTGCTGGATTTGTTTGTCATTTGCTGTGACTAAACTGTACCTTTCTAATGTGCTCCATGAAGATGACCCAGGACTTTGCAAATAGTGGGAACTTGGGGCAAGACTGAAAACTGGTGAGAACATATGCTTGGAGGCAAATGCAGCTACTGGACTTAGAGGGTGCAGAGACACTCAAGAAGATTAACTTAGAGAGATGGAATATAGGCTAACACTGTAGGTCTCATGGGGAGGGAGGGAGGACTCCCCCACAAGGCATCTTGGGGCAGTAGCCTTCGAGCTAAAGTTAGTTTTCATAAATATCACTTTAGCTAAGGATTTAAACACAAATATAAGCAAGCAAAGGGAAGTTTGATAGTGCCCAGCAGAAACTTTCTCATGATATTTTCATAGCCTTGAGTTTGGAGAACAGAAGTGGAGGCAGTCTGGGAACTACCTTTGTAGTGTAGTTTGAAGAACTTATCCTAGGTTTAAGGAGTAGCATGAAAATGGTGATGGCAAGGGGTAGGTGCTTGAAGCCATGCTCAGGAGATAGAGCAAAATTATCAAGGTGGCTTCAAGCAAGAAGTATGGGCTCTTTGGGGAATGAGTTTGTTTCATTTTTTTAACTTTCATCTTAAAATTGTATAATAAGTAGGAGCAGCCAGTGGCATCCTTCAGTATTAGGACAACTTCAGGCATAAGTGATCTATGCAAATCTTCCAAGTAGTGAACTTGTTAACTTTTCCCTTAGAGACTTTGAGAATGTGTGTGGCTGTGCAGGAGGTGTGTTTATCTCTGATCTCCAGGGACACTCTCTTGAGACCAGTCAGTTGTGACTGCCAGAGTCTGGAGGCAGTGGTCTTCAACAAAATACTGTGTGTACCCATGTGTTGTGCTGTTAGAGGAGGCTGATTACCCCAGTGTGATTTCTGTTGTTGAATTGCTCTTGATGCCGTGGTGATGGGAGCATTATGAATGTCTAATTGTGGCCTGAACTTTGATATCTGCCCAGGGCTTTAAGAAAGGTTAAGGTTGCATAGCCAGCTACTGGCTCCCTTCTGCACTAGTTTGGCTTCTGATTGCTTCTGTCTTGACTTGTGTTTGTAGTATGCAGCAGAGGATGGACTTGTACACACAAATGATCCGGCCAGGACAGTGTTCAAAGAATGGATTTGCATTTAAAGGCCCCAGCAGTTAGACTTCCTTAGAGAAGGTAAGGATAATGAACCCCAGGAGATGGGTTTTGGGGTCATCATAGTGTTTGCTTCAGATAACCACCATATTCAACATAACTCTTCATTTGCTGCTCTGGGAACACGGCTAGTCTTTCCTATTTCTAGAATGTCATGCTGCAGTCTATAAAGCCTTGGCTGTTAAAGCCATCATTTAAAAGATTTTGACTACCCCAGTCAACCTAAGGGCTGCTGCTTTGCGTGCTTCCCAGGGCTTCAAATGCATGCTACTTCAGGCTTTAATACCAGTACTGAGAGAGATCCTCAGAGACTCTTTCCTCTGTGGAACAAAGTACAGAGATTGTGTTACTTCTCCTAGCAATGCACTAGGATGTAGTGTTGGTTAGGCAGCATGAGCTACTTTCTTAGGTAACTACAGAATCTGACTTCTAAGCCTCGTGCTGATGTAAACTGTGTTTGTGTAACAGCAGCTACTCTCTTGCCTTTGTGAGCTTTCTGATCAGGCCACTTGAGTCTTTCAAGCTTGGTTTACTTGATCTTCTGTATAGGAACAGTCAAAGGGTGAAGTCACCCAGAAAGCATTTGTGCAGAAAAATGTAAGTTGAACAGCAAAGCAATGTGTTGGTGGCTGCACTAGGTGCTTTATCATGTGCTGTAGTCTCAGAGAAAGGTATAGAAATATATTTGAGAAATGCTTCTGTGATCTCTAGTTTTTTAAAAATATATAGTCAAAGAAGTGACAAGATTTATGTCCTTTTCTTTCCTCTGTTCCATTCTTCAGCTTCCCCTCAGTCCTATGTTTTGTTGTTCTGCTTTTGACACAAAGGTAACTTAGCCCAGGGTATAATCTACTTCTGGGCAAAACCTTTACCTGCAGCATCAGGTCACTGTCATCTGCTCCAAGTGTGCTGCTTTTGCACGTGCTCTGCAGAAGTGACCATCTCAGGTAGTTGGCTAACAAGCTGGCTTTTGTCCGGGTTGACAAAGCTGAACCCCATCTCTAGAACTGACAGTCTGAGGCCGTAATTAGGTGCTCATTAGCATCCTGGCCTAAACCACACTACAGAGCTTCCCCCCCCGCAGCTGTTTGTCTGTGGTGAGTGTTGCCATGCAGTGACTAGGCTGGGGAGCTGATCTAGCTGGAAGAACCCATGGGGGTTGCCTCTTAATCTGTTTTCAGCTGGTTTACAGCTTAGCTGTGCGAGTACTGCGTTGACCCAGAGATGGGAAGGTAGAAGTGAACAAAGCAGGCACTGAGGGATGGTAATGGCATTGCCATGTTGGAGTTGACTGTAAAACTTCACCTTGAGAGGTAAAAGGTCATGTGAAAATTGCATCAATTCTGGCATACTCCTAGTGAAGCGCTGTTATCTTAATAGACAATGTCACTGAAACCCTGTGTGTGTAAGGTGAAAACTAAAGCTTTTGGTTCTTCAGTAAATATTTTAGATTTTGGAAATCAAAAAATTAATATTTGCTTTTATCATGGTGTTCAGTGACCTGCACAACTCTTTCACACAGATTCCTCCACCCTTTCTGATGTTTTGAACAAACACAGCGAGCATAGATGGAGATTATTATTGCATTCCCAGTTTTACCACTTCTCAATCCAGTTGTGCTCAAGACAAAAAAAATCACCAGAACTCTGGAAATCAGCAGATGGACCTCTGTTTTCAGGTTGATGCACAATTTTCAAACGTGCACACACAGACCACTAAGCCCTTCATTGAGAGCACAGGTGTTGAAATCATGCAAGTCCTTGAGGGTTTCTTCTTGATAAAGTATTCAGCTGCTCTTAACACAGAAATAGTTTAGCCTGAACCTAAAATCCTGATCTCTTATGTTCTTTGAAATAGCAAAAGTCTTTTTTTATCTAATTTTGCACACAGTTCTTTTTTAATTAAAAAAGTATTTTACAACCTCTAATTGTGCACTTGACATTTTAATAAAAAAACTTTTTTTGGCTTGTATATATGTCTAATCTGTGCAAAAGAAGTCTTTGTAAACTTTATATGCAGGCATATTTTACACAGTGCAGAAATAATTAGGAATGTAAAATGGATTATCTGAGGAAAAAATGCTGTAACTTTGTAAAAATATATGTGTGGGATGTTAAATGCTTTGTCTCTGATTCTTATCTTGTATGCTTTTTCATATGCACTCAGGTATTTAAATTTTAAAAGGCTTACAAGAGTAGGCATTTTCAAACTTTGATCACACTGCCTAGTCAGAAAATGAGAAATGTAGTTAATGTCTCTCCTGTGCTACTACTTTATATTTTTCCACTTCCTGCTCTACCCACCCTGCTTGGTGTTTGATAGTCGTTTATGCAAGAGAAGGAGTTGTGATCTCTTGTAAGACCCAGGACCTTGTCTGCTTTAAAGGAGGGTCACTCAGGGATGATAGCTTGAGATTGGTCTCTCTCTGAACTAAAGTAACCCAGCACCACAACTGTCACTCTTACCAGAGAAATCAGGTGATAAATGTGCTCTTACTTAAACAAATGATGTCTTTTAGCAACTTCTGGTCTCCCTGTCTGCCCTGAGACTGGGCATCAGGACGAGGGTTACATCACTATGTCTTTCCATGGCAATTACACTCATCATTTCTACTGAAGAAAGGGGGAAGGAAATACAGAGATTTGTGGGGGTAAAAATTGCACAGTGGATAGGTCCTCTGGCATGTTCAAAATAAATACTGTAGAACTGAGGGCTGCAAACGCTTTGGGTATGTGGTGCTTAGAGTCCTCCTCTATTTAGTTCCCATGAGCCCAAATCCACAACAGTGCCTTGCTATCTCTGAAAGGAAGTAAAGCGGAAGAAAGAAAACCAAAACAAGGATGGTGGGGTGGCGAAGTAGGAAAACTGTTCTAGACAAGTGATACTCTCTCCCTTTCATTCTTCCCTTATTATTTTTCACTTCTCTTTCTGGTGTGCCACCCTCCCCCAGTCACTACAGCCATAGTAATCTAGATTTACATTTTCTCCTGGCAAACAATCACACTCTGAAGTATTTGACAGTGTTTTTTTTAAAATCACTGTTCTGTAAGCATGACTACATCAAACATGATTTATTGATGCAAAATATTTTTAAATGGTATTTCTAACTTTTCTTTCTGAGACGATGGTTTTACCTTTCATTTTGTAGCATGATTATGAATTAATAGTTATGCATTAGCCTATGTAAGCCACTGGGGAAGTGATGGTGGAATAGAGTCTTCACGTATTAAGTGTGCAAGTACAGACAGGGAGCGAGTGGATGGGAAGCAGGAGGCCAGAAAAGGTTTGCAAAAATAAATCACAAACCGAATGCAACAATAATTAAATGCTTTTGAAAAACAAAGGCATACTTTATGTTGGGTAACACATATGGGCCTTTAGTTTGGGATGTGTTCCAAGTGTTCTATACAGTGCTGGTAAAACTTGAGCAAAAAGTTATAGCCAAAAATTGGCACAAAAATTGCAAAACGTGTATCAACTGCAGAGTGAACAGAGGGATTGTGAAAACTGCTCTCAAAGGCCTGCTGCAGGCATTGGGATTGCTTCATTTGCTGAAAAGGAGACTGAGGAGAGGTATGAGAACAGCATATTAAAAATATGGCTATGAAGAGAGAAGGAATAAATTCTTCCCATTGTGAACAGGACCAGGAAAAAAGGGATGGAGTTAGAGGTGTGGATTAAGGGATCAGAACAAACCTCCTTATAGCAACAGTAGTTAAACACTGATCTGAACTGCCTGGGGAGGCTGGTCAGTCTCCACCCTGGTAATCTTCTGGGGCTGGTTGGCCAAGCACTCATTAGAGACAGCACTGGCAGAGCTGGTCCCACTGTCAGATGGAGACATGGACAAGATCTCCTCTTCAGGTCCCCTCCAGCCTTGTTTGTGGTGATACTGCTTTCTTCTTAGGACCCTGGTCTCAGATATTAGCAAGTTAACTGTACATCACAATATATCCAATCTGAGTTGGGGACTGTGTAATTTTTCATGAGCTCTCTCGTATTTGGGAGTCTTTTGGCTCTATGTTCAAACTGAAACCTTTATTCTGTTTTTCAGTAACTGTTTTAATTGATTACAACATTAAAGTTATTTAACCTAAAGCTGAGGAAAATACTATTCCCTCATTATAATGGGTGCAGGTTTTAGAAAACAGGTAAACTAGAAGTTAGGTGATTTCTACACAGGGGGGAAATGTGTGTATATTCCGTTTTCTTTTTGCACAATTAGCAAAGCTGTGGGGTTTCCCAACTATCTCTGAATATCTCCATTACTTCACTTAGGTGGGTTCTCAGCTGGAGGCAATTTTATTTATATAAGAAGGAAAGCCTGAAACTCCATCAGTAAAGATGAAAGTCCAATTCCACAGTGTAACTTTCTCTGAGATTAAGAGTATTGATTGAACTTGAGATGTGAATCTAATGCTTGTTTGTTTGGATGTGTAAAGAATATGTAATATGACGGTAATAGCTGGAATTAATCTGAAAAAAATATGTGAAAATATATATTGTACTTTCATAAAAACTGTATTTAAAATTATTGTGTTATGTGGAGAAAGTTTTTCTTTCCTTTCTTTTTCCATGTTTCCACCTATCTCTCTCCTGTTCTGCTTTTCCCAGGGTCACCTCTTTGACCTTTTGGGAGATGTGAGGGCATAGAGCTGGGTTGTGCACCTCCCAGGGGGAGTAGGGCAGGCTGGAGAGGAGGGAAGGGCACTGAAGGTACAGTGAGAAGACCCAAAGCACTGCCCATCCTGTGTGAGTGCCACAGCGCTGCCCCAGAAGAGAGGACAAGGGGCTGGCACAGTCCTGTCCCCAGCATCTCCTATCCAACCCTGTCCCTCTCCACTCCCATGCTCAGGTAAGGACCTGGGTGTTTGGGCTTACCACTGCCTTACAGCAACTGGTTAGGTCAGTGTGTACTCAGACAGGCATATTCAGCTCATGGATCTGCACAAACTCCTTCTTTCGTTGGTGTTGTTTTATTGTTAATCACTTGAACGGAGATGCAAACAACTGCTCTTCCCTGCATCCTTGCTTAGAAAGGGAGACCAGTGATCCTTTTACACACCATAGGTCAAAG